GGTAGTTGTACTAGATGGACACCCAATAGTAGTTTCGAAATACCTATAATGCTAAATTTTCTCTCTTTTTTGTTGGGTAATGGCGGCATCTAAATGTGTAGGGTCATTTTTCTGATATAAGCTATAGCGAGGAAAGAGGGAATCGAATCTTGAACTTCGAGTGCATGAGTAAATGCTCTTAACAACTTGAGGTACGAGTCCCTTGTTGTAGTAGGACAATTTTTAACATGGCTATGATACAATATCACACTATTAGTTTTGGTTTGGTCATTAGCTCGTTTATATAATTCACTAATATTTTATACTAATCTTCCATGTATCTTAATCCAATTGGCGGCTTTGTAATTATTATTATTATTATTTAAAGTTCATCATAAAAGCCAAATTTATAAAACAACAGTGCCGTACGGGTAATTAACTTTTGTTGAGGAGAAGGATAATGGGATTGACTATTTTGGCGTGTAGTGACTGGTAGTTTTTTTTCTTTTGTTATTGTAGCGCACTCCAAAGTGAAGCATTTTTGTGCTAGCTAATATGAGTTGATAACTTGCCTTCCATTAGAACATTTCCAGCAAGGGGCCTTGGGGGAGGGTTGGGGGGGGCTGGGGGAAAATGGTGTTTCCAGCAACACAAATCTGCCAGGGCAAGGTGTGGGCCCCAGCAAAAAAAATTTGCCTGGGCTGGCCCTTGGGGAGGTCCAGCCCGAGTAGCAAAACTCGTTTTGGGCTGACGTCAGCGCTGGAGTTTAAATTTTTTTAACGTTGGCGCGTACAATGCACGCGCCAACGTTAAAAAAAATTTGACGCGCTGCTACAGTGCCCGCCCAATGGCTCTCTTCCACGTGTCGTCTGCTGGGCCATCCGATCAACTTTTTAAACATATCCAACGACAGCCATTTTTTCGCGAATAAAAAAATCGAAAAAAGCAAGCCCCAACGGCTCTGTGCCACGTGGAAGCTTCTGAGCTTTCCGATTTTTTTTTTCCAATCATCCAACGGCAGGGAATTTTTTGCCCAATAAAAAAATGAAAAAAAATACCAAAAAAATACTGAAATTGTTTTCTATAAATACCAACCAATACTCTTCACTTTTAACATCAACAACCAATATTTTTGTAATAAAAAATTGAAAAAAACCAAAAAATTACTTTTTTTTTCTTCTCTCTATACCTTATTTCCATTTTCAACATTTAAGTAAATGTCTTTGTCCTTTTACTTTTATTTATTTTTATATTACTCCATTTACTTAAGTTTACAATGTAAATAAGGAAGTACCCCCTATTTGGATTCAAATAAAAATACTAGAAAATCAAATTCCCACCAAATCAAAATATGAAAA